TCGGAAGGTTTTGTTTGTTTTACAATAACAGTAAACTCATTCCCCTCTAAGGCACTGGACGATTTTTATGATTTCCGCCTCCCCTCTCCTTATTGGAGGTCAATTTTCTACAGTCCCCCCCCCCCCTTTATACTCTATTAGCGATGACTCTTCCTCTCCGTTTCCCCTCAAATCCTAGTAATCTCTCCGAAAAAACCTCCCACCCCTACCCCATCCCCCCACCCCAACGTGATAAATATTGACAAGTACCTTACGTAAAATATTTTTCATTATATCTAAACAGCAGGCAAGCGCTGCCTATCGTGTAGTGGCAGAGGAAGATGTCCCTTTGTTATTCTCGAGTTCAGATCAAGAGGCAGCTTAGATGGTATCAGTTCCATACACTGCTGTACAGAGGGCGACCTGATGTAATTTATCGCTTTTTTAACGCCATGATAGCAAATTAATTGTTACAACCACAAATCCGAGAATGTTATTAGAAGTAAAATTAGCATTTGATTTTTTATATTTTGATATTAATTATTTTTTAATCTTCTTTTTAATCTTTCTTCCATTTTTTCTATTCCTTTTTTTTTCCGTGGCGTACCCGTAAACTAGTTTTTTAGGTAAGTGTACTGACCACGTTAAATACATAAATTGATTGATTAATTGCAGTAATTTATGTCATTTCGTGCCCGAGATTTTTGCTAGATATCTGAAGATAAAAATGTGTTTCGTAGCTTGAAGAAAGCGTGAAATATAATTAACGAGTAACTTCCACGAATGTAGAAATACTGTCATCAACTTCCGACTTTTTTGCAGCTTCACCGCATGAAGTGCTGCTGTTTATTTGCTTGTACATATTTGTATCTTGAAGGGATTAAATCTGAATAGTTCTAAATTACTTTTGTTTTTGTTTGTCGTTAATTTTCGGGATCCGATATTCGGTACCCAGTTTTCGTCTGGTCCAACATGGCAAACGTCTAATCCAATAAGATTCTGCCATGCGTGCGTTCAAACGAACAGTTTATGTCGCGTCTCCCTTAGCTCTCTAAGTAAGTCATATACGAGCGCCTTTGGTTGGGTTGAGTAGCCGAACTAGCCTCCAAAGGCTTCCCTAGAGAACGAATATGACTTACCCAGAAATCTATGGGAGACGCGAAAAAAGAGACTGAATCTACTGCGAGAAGCATAACAGCCACTCTTTCGGCAGATGAGGCCAGTAAAATACTTGAAAAGATCAGAGTTAATACCCAAAGAATATTTAACACCACGAAAGGGTTGAATTTCGCACTAACTCCATCCAACATCCCAGCCACCGAAATAGTCACCAAAACGCTTGATTCAGAGCAAGCAGACACCGTAAGACGAACTAAAAACTGTATCCTTCAACAGGGCAAACCACCCAAGCTTAACATATCGAAGGATATGCAAGAAGCCGTTAAGAATCTAAAACAAGACGACACTATCACTATTCTGCCAGCGGAAAAGGCCGCACTAGTGTAGTCCTAGACACATTTTACGAGAGCAAATC